GACAGCACCGCGTCTCCTGGAGGAAACGGCGCCATTAGAGCCAGACTGGAAATAATCACATATTTCTGCACTGAATCTGAGGAAAAGCTTCTTAACGCTGGAGATAAAGATCCTGCTGCCGATCTTTATCTGGATCCCAGCGGAACCAGGGCCGGGCTGGAACCGGGCCGGGCCGCCGTTACTCACTGATGCAGTCGATACGTGCACGATGGTGATGACGGATCATTATAGTTGATTTGAAGATGTTCAGCACCGTGGTTTCCTTCCGTTGCCTGCCTGACAAACGATGACAACGTTCAGAAACCAATACTAATCTATAATCAATATGTTTTCATCATGGGGTTTGAACTGTCACTGCTCAGAAAAGTACAACAAACCGACAGAATTGATCAGAAATGAATTTTAAATTAAAATAAAATTCACCATACAAAAAAGAGAAATAATTATAAAACACAGGAAAACATCTGAAACTTGAGAAAATACTTAAAATATTAATAAATGAGCTTGCCATGCAATTTCTAATGGCAAACTTATTATTTCCAGTGCCTGGACCAATCAAAAAACTCCACTGTGAGCAGACAGCCAATCAGTGATGATCTTAGGTTTATGGTGGTGGAGCGTCTGAGGGCCCCAATGACCCCAGGAGCTCTGCTATCTGGGGCTTCATGCCCCTGGTAGGGTCACCCAAGGCAGACAGGTCCTATGTGAGGGACCAGACGAAGCGCAGCCCGAAGACCCCGATGATGAATGGCAGCTTTGGACTTAGTGTTCCCTCGCCCGGACGCGGGTCACCGGGGCTCCACTCTGGAGCCAGGCCTGGAGGTGGGGCACGTTGGCGAGAGCCTGGTGGCCGGGCTTTTACCCATGGAGCCCGGCCGGGCCCAGCCCCAAGAGGAGACACGGGTCCCTCCTCCCATAGGCCCACCACCTATGAGAGGAGCCAAAGGGGTCGGGTGCGATGTGAGATGGCTGAGGCAGGGGGTCCTGGCCGTCCGATCCTCGGTTGCAGAAGCTCTTGGTGTGGAACGTCACCTCTCTGGTGGGGAAGGAGCCGGAGCTGGTGTGTGAGGCTGAGAGGTTCCAGCTAGAAATAGTCGGTCTCACCTGAACGCATGGCTCTGGTTCTGGAACCAGTCTCCTTGAGAGGGGCTGGATGTACTTCCACTCTGGAGTTCCCCACAGCGAGAGGTTTGGGGCAGTAGTGGGCATACTTGCTGCTCCCCATCTCGACGCCTGTACGTTGGGGTTTACCCCGGTGGACAAGAGGGTAGCCTCCCTCCGCCTTCAGTTGGGGGACGGGTTCTAACTGTTGTTTGTGCTTACGTCCTGAACAACAGTTCAGATTACCCACCCTTCTTGAAATCCTTAGAGGGAGTCCTGGAGAGTGGCCCTCCTGGGGACTCCCTCATTCTGCTGGGGGACTTTAATGCTCACGTGGGCAACGACAGTGAGACCTGGAGGGGCGATGTTGGGAGGAACGCTCCACCCGATCTGAGCTTTAGTGGTGTTCTGGTTGTTGGACTTCTGTGCTCGTCTCAGATTGTCTATAACAAACACCATGTTCAGGCACAAGGGTCTCCATATGTGCACTTGGCACCAGGACACCGTAGGCCCCAGTTTGATGAATGACTTTGTCGTCGTTTCATCGGATCTGTGGCCGTATGTTTTGGACACTCGGGTGGAGAGAGGTGTGGAGCTGTCCACTGACCACTACCTGGTGGTGATTGGCTCTGGTGGTGGGGGAGGATGTCGGTCAGACCTGGCAGGCCCAAACATGTTGTGAGGGTGTGCTGGGAACGTCTGGCTAAGTCCCCTGTGAGACGGAGCTTTAACTCCCATCTCCGGCAGAACTTCGAACATGTTCTGGGAAGGTGGTGGACATTGAGTCCAAGTGGACCATGTTTCATGCCTCCATTGTTGAGGTGGCTTATCGGAGCTGTGGCAGCAAGGTTGTCAGTGCCTGTCGTGGCGGCAACCCTCGAACCTGTTGGTGGACACCTTTGGTGAGGGATGCTGTCAGGGAGTGGATGAGATTTGCCCGGAGTTTCTTAAAGCTCTGGATGTTGTAGGGTTGGTTTGGTTGACACAACTCTGCAGTATCACATGGACATCAGGGGCAGTTCCCCTGGATTGGCAGAGTGGGATGGTGGTCCCCCTGACCGGAGGGTGTGCTCCAATTATAGAGGGATCACACTCTTAAGCCTCCCTGGCAAGAGCTATTCAGGGGTCCTGGAGAGGAGGGTCTGTAGGATAGTCGAACCTCGGATTCAGGAAGACCAGTGTGGTTCTGGTTCTGGTCGTGGAACACTGGACCAGCTCTACACCCTCAGCAGGGTCCTGGAGGGTTCTGGGAGTTCCCCCAACCGGTCCACATGTGTTTTGTGGACTTGGAGAAGGCGTTCGACCGTGTCCCTGTGGGGGGTTCTCCAGGAGTATGGGTACTGGGCCCTTTGATATGGGCTGTCAGGTCCCTGTATGACCGGTGTCAGAGTCTGGTCCGCATTGCCAACAATAAGTTGGGCTCGTTTCTGGTGAGGGTTGGACTCCGCCAGGGCTGCCCTTTGTCACCGGTTCTGTTCATTACCTTTATGGACAGAATTTCTAGGCGCTGCCGAGGTGATGAGAGGATCCGTTTTTAGGATCACATCTCTGGTTTTTGCAGATGATGTGGTCCTATTGGCTTTATCAGGTCATGATCTGCAGCTCTCACTGGAGCGGTTCGCAGCCGAGTGCGAAGCAGCCGGGATGAGGATCAGTGCCTCCAAGTCCGAGGCCGTGGTCTTGAGCCAGAAAAGGGTAGAGTGCTTCTCCGGGTCGAGGGGGATGTCCTGCCCCAAGTGGAGGAGTTTAAGTATCTCAGGATCTTGTTCACGAATGAGGGAAGAAGGGAACGGGAGATCGACAGGAGGATTGGCACAGCGTCCACCGTGAAGCGGCGCTGTGCCGGTCCGTCGTAGTGAAGAGAGAGTTGAGTCAAAAAGCGAAGCTCTTGATTTACCGGTCGATCTACGTTCCTACCCTCATCTATGGTCATGACTTTGGGTCATGACCAAAAGAATGAGATCGCGGATACAAGCGGCTGAAATGGGTTTCCTCCATAGGGTGGCTGGGCTCTCGCTTACAGAGAGAGAAGCTCGGTCATCCTGCAGGCACTCAGAGTAGAGCTGGTGCTTCTCCACATCGAGAGGAGCCAGTTGAGGCTCCATCCAGATGGTCAGGGTGGAGGCTTCCTGGTGAGGTGTTCAGGTCCCACCAGGGGAAGACCAGGACATGTTGGAGAGCCGATGTCTCTCAGCTGGCCTGGGAACGCCTCGGGATTCCCCCAGAGGAGCTGGAAGAAGTGGCTGGGAAAGGGAAGCCTGGGCCTCCATTCTTCAGCTGCTGCCCCCGCGACCCGGATGGATGGATGGAAGATGGATGGATGGATGGATGGATGGATGGATGGATGGATGGAAGATGGATGGATGGATGGATGGATGGTTGGATGGATGGTTGGATGGCTGGAAGATGGATGGATGGATGGATGGATGGATGGATGGATGGATGGATGGATGGATGGTTGGAAGATGGATGGATGGATGGATGGTTGGATGGCTGGAAGATGGATGGATGGATAGACGGATGGATGAATTTCTTTTTCATGATAATATATTAGCAGTTAGAGGAGAAGTTGGTTCAACGCTGTTAAATGTTTTATCAAACAATTTAAACGAGTTTCTATAAAAATCTGATCTGTAATAACTGGTCACGTCTATTGAATCAGCAGCTTTTCTCTGAATATGAGGATTTCTCCTTTCTGTTAAAAAAATAAATAAATAAAGACCTTGTGGTAATTAGTTAAGTTAGATTTATCTAATTTACTAATAATTTACTAATTTATCAAATTAAATCTTATTAAATTAAACTTCATCTTAAATTTCCTTTAACTTTGGCTTAAATTAAAGTTACATTTAGTTGATTTGAGATTAGAGAAACTACACTAATTTAAGATCAACTTAATTTAAATTAGCTGAATTAAATTTAGCCGTGAAAATATAAGATATAAGAAAATGTGACTGACTGACCTGCTGCGTCGTACAAAGCAGCCTTGGCCACGTTCTCCACCAGGTCCGTCCTACGAGCCTCAGAGACGTTCAGAAGACAAGCAACCAGACGTGACCCGAGAGTCCCAGAGGTCATGATCCTGCAACAACACAACCATCATGGAACCAGCAAAACCATCATGGAACCAGCAAAACCATCATGGAACCAGCAAAACCATCATGGAACCAGCAAAACCATCATGGAACAAATCCATGAGCGAAATGCTATGGCTGATGAATTTGTATGTTTGGTCCGATAAATGATTTGAACTTTTTTTCATCTTTTACTCATGTGAAGAAACTAGCTACAAAATTGCATAAGCAGCAGCAAAACTAAAATCTCCCATGAAGCCAAAGTCTGAATCCAATCGTGACTTTCTGTAGCGGGTCACCTTTCAGAGGAACTGAGAGAATCTGCTGCAAACCTGAACAGAACCTGCAGGTCCAAAGTCCAGCCTGCAGCAAACCGGACTCAGCTGTCGGTGCATGAGAGGAAAAAACATTTAGTGCCGTCAGATGAACTTTAACACACGACATCACGTTCAGCTGAAGTTCAAACAGCAAGACAGTTCACTGTGCACCGCTTCCTGTTTGGGTTTTAACAAGATAAAGCGTCCAGTATCTCTGCTGCCATCTTCTGGATGAATTTGGTTCCTGCAACCAAACCAGTCGGTGTGTTTACGAGTTAACTTATGAGTCAAATATAAGTCACTGAATGTTTCGGTGCTCCGAAACATTCAGTGACATTCATTTCCAATCTAATGTGTATTTCTTGAAGGATTTAGTTTCGTTCTTACTACATTTATTTGGTTCGCAGAAAAATGTGGCTGAAAAGCTCTGTTGACCAGAACCGGAACCGGAAGTAGGTTGGCGGGACTCCTCTTGTGTTGTCTCTTTGTTACAGGAAGTACATCAGCTGCTGGTTGTATTTTGGGGAAACAGCGCCGCTCTGTGGTCACAAACGGTCTAACTGTTAGTGTTTGAGTGAATTTGTTTAAAAATGCGGCGCAGTGCGCGGCGGGTCACTGTTGCTAACTGACAGTATTTATTGCAGTTTGCGGGACAGGAAGCCGTTGCGGTGCTGCCAGCCAGCAGCAGCGTTCACTGCCTCAGACAGAACCCGTCCGGACTCCAGTCCGGGACTCCATGTTGTCTCCCAGAGCTTTAGCAGCGGGCGTCTCTCTCATCACCGTGGCCGAACACACGAGCTCCGTGGCGGGAAGCCGGGCACCGCAGGGCTCCGGCTGCCCGAGCGGGAGGCGCCTGCAGCGGCTGGTCGGAGTCTCCGGCTGCGGGCCGAACCGGGTCAACGACCTGCTGCTGCTGCGGCCCGAACCAGACGAAGAGAGCAGCTCCGGAACCAAGGAGAGCAGCAGACACATTGTTTTCTTCCACGGAGACATCCAGGTCAGATTCCACCAGGGGCGTCACGCAGCTGCGCAGCCGAGGGGGCCGGGCCCAGAAAATAGACACAATATAGACACAATATATACACAATATAAACACAATATATACACAATATAAACACAATATATACACAATATATACACAATATAAACACAATATACACAATATAACACAATATAACACAATATAAACACAATATACACAATATATACACAATATAAACACAATATAAACACAATATAAACACAATATAGACACAATATAAACACAATATATACACAATATAAACACAATATATACACAATATATACACAATATAAACACAATATATACACAATATATACACACAATATAAACACAATATATACACACAATATAAACACAATATATACACAATATAGACACAATATAAACACAATATATACACAATATAAACACAACATAAACACAATATATACACACAATATAAACACAATATAGACACTATATATACACAATATATACACAATATACACAATATAGACACAATATAAACACAATATATACACAATATAAACACAATATATACACAATATAAACACACAATATAAACACAATATAAACACAATATAAACATAATATAGACACAATATATACACAATATATACACAATATAGACACAATATAAACACAATATATACACAATATATACACAATATAGACACAATATAAACACAATATAAACACAATATAGACACAATATATACACAATATATACACAATATAGACACAATATAAACACAATATATACACAATATAGACACAATATAAACACAATATAAACACAATATAGACACAATATATACACAATATATACACAATATAGACACAATATAAACACAATATATACACAATATATACACAATATAGACACAATATAAACACAATATATACACAATATAAACACAATATATACACAATATAAACACAATATAAACACAATATACACACAATATAAACACAATATATACACAATATAAACACAATATAGACACAATATAAACACAATATATACACAATATAAACACAATATAGACACAATATAAACACAATATAAACACAATATAAACACAATATAGACACAATATATACACAATATATACACAATATAGACACAATATAAACACAATATAAACACAATATAGACACAATATATACACAATATATACACAATATAGACACAATATAAACACAATATATACACAATATAAACACAATATATACACAATATAAACACAATATAAACACAATATATACACAATATAAACACAATATATACACAATATAAACACAATATAGACACAATATAAACACAATATATACACAATATAAACACAATATAGACACAATATAAACACAATATATACACAATATAAACACAATATATACACAATATATACACAATATAAACACAATATAAACACAATATATACACAATATAAACACAATATATACACAATATAAACACAATATAAACACAATATACACACAATATAAACACAATATATACACAATATAAACACAATATAAACACAATATAGACACAATATATACACAATATAAACACAATATAAACACAATATATACACAATATAAACACAATATATACACAATATAAACACAATATATACACAATATAGACACAATATAAACACAATATATACACAATATATACACAATATAAACACAATATACACAATATAAACACAATATATACACAATATAAACACAATATAACACAATATAAACACAATATAACACAATATAGACACAATATAAACACAATATAAACACAATATATACACAATATAAACACAATATATACACAATATAAACACAATATATACACAATATAAACACAATATAAACACAATATAAACACAATATATACACAATATAAACACAATATATACACAATATAAACACAATATATACACAATATAAACACAATATAAACACAATATAAACACAATATATACACAATATAAACACAATATAAACACAATATAAACACAATATAGACACAATATATACACAATATAAACACAATATACACAATATAAACACAATATAAACACAATATAAACACAATATAACACAATATAAACACAATATAAACACAATATAGACACAATATAAACACAATATAAACACAATATAGACACAATATATACACAATATAAACACAATATATACACAATATAAACACAATATAAACACAATATACACAATATAACACAATATATACACAATATAAACACAATATAAACACAATATATACACAATATATACACAATATAAACACAATATATACACAATATAAACACAATATAAACACAATATATACACAATATAAACACAATATATACACAATATATACACAATATATACACAATATAAACACAATATAAACACAATATAGACACAATATAGACACAATATAAACACAATATAAACACAATATATACACAATATAAACACAATATATACACAATATAAACACAATATATACACAATATAAACACAATATAAACACAATATAAACACAATATAGACACAATATAGACACAATATAAACACAACATAAACACAATATAGACACAATATAGACACAATATAAACACAATATAAACACAATATAGACACAATATAGACACAATATATACACAATATAAACACAATATATACACAATATAAACACAATATATACACAATATAAACACAATATAAACACAATATAAACACAATATATACACAATATAAACACAATATAAACACAATATAAACACAATATAGACACAATATAAACACAATATAAACACAATATAGACACAATATATACACAATATAAACACAATATATACACAATATAAACACAATATATACACAATATAAACACAATATATACACAATATAAACACAATATAAACACAATATATACACAATATATACACAATATAAACACAATATATACACAATAAACACAATATAAACACAATATAAACACAATATAAACACAATATATACACAATATAAACACAATATATACACAATATAAACACAATATAAACACAATATATACACAATATATACACAATATAAACACAATATATACACAATATAAACACAATATAAACACAATATATACACAATATAAACACAATATAAACACAATATACACAATATAAACACAATATAAACACAATATATACACAATATAAACACAATATAAACACAATATAAACACAATATAGACACAATATAAACACAATATATACACATATAAACACAATATAAACACAATATAGACACAATATAAACACAATATATACACAATATAAACACAATATAAACACAATATAAACACAATATAGACACAATATAAACACAATATATACACAATATAAACACAATATAAACACATATATACACAATATAAACACAATATAAACACAATATAAACACAATATATACACAATATAAACACAATATAAACACAATATAAACACAATATAGACACAATATAAACACAATATATACACAATATAAACACAATATAAACACAATATAAACACAATATAAACACAATATAGACACAATATAAACACAATATATACACAATATAGACACAATATAAACACAATATAAACACAATATAGACACAATATAAACACAATATATACACAATATAAACACAATATAAACACAATATAGACACAATATAAACACAATATATACACAATATATACACAATATAAACACAATATAAACACAATATAAACACAATATAAACACAATATAAACACAATATAAACACAATATATACACAATATAAACACAATATAAACACAATATATACACAATATAAACACAATATATACACAATATAAACACAATATATACACAATATAGACACAATATAAACACAATATATACACAATATAAACACAATATAAACACAATATATACACAATATAAACACAATATATACACAATATAAACACAATATATACACAATATAGACACAATATAAACACAATATATACACAATATATACACAATATAAACACAATATATACACAATATAAACACAATATAAACACAATATAAACACAATATAAACACAATATATACACAATATAAACACAATATAAACACAATATAAACACAATATAGACACAATATAAACACAATATAAACACAATATAGACACAATATATACACAATATAAACACAATATATACACAATATAAACACAATATATACACAATATAAACACAATATAAACACAATATATACACAATATAAACACAATATAAACACAATATAAACACAATATAGACACAATATAAACACAATATATACACAATATAAACACAATATAAACACAATATAGACACAATATAAACACAATATATACACAATATAGACACAATATAAACACAATATAGACACAATATAAACACAATATAAACACAATATATACACAATATAAACACAATATAAACACAATATAAACACAATATATACACAATATATACACAATATAAACACAATATATACACAATATAAACACAATATAAACACAATATATACACAATATAAACACAATATAAACACAATATATACACAATATAGACACAATATAAACACAATATAGACACAATATATACACAATATAAACACAATATAAACACAATATAAACACAATATATACACAATATAAACACAATATAAACACAATATAGACACAATATAGACACAATATAAACACAATATAGACACAATATATACACAATATAAACACAATATAAACACAATATAAACACAATATATACAATATAGACACAATATAAACACAATATAAACACAATATAAACACAATATAGACACAATATAAACACAATATATACACAATATAGACACAATATAGACACAATATAAACACAATATAGACACAATATATACACAATATAGACACAATATAAACACAATATACACACAATATAAACACAATATAAACACAATATAGACACAATATATATACACAATATAAACACAATATAAACACAATATACACACAATATAAACACAATATAAACACAATATAGACACAATATATACACAATATAGACACAATATAAACACAATATAGACACAATATACACAATATAGACACAATATAAACACAATATATACACAATATATACACAATATAAACACAATATAAACACAATATAAACACAATATAGACACAATATATACACAATATAAACACAATATAAACACAATATACACACAATATAAACACAATATAAACACAATATAGACACAATATAAACACAATATATACACAATATAAACACAATATAAACACAATATAGACACAATATAAACACAATATATACACAATATAAACACAATATATACACAATATAAACACAATATATACACAATATAAACACAATATATACACAATATAAACACAATATAAACACAATATATACACAATATAAACACAATATATACACAATATAAACACAATATAAACACAATATATACACAATATAAACACAATATATACACAATATAAACACAATATAAACACAATATATACACAATATAAACACAATATAGACACAATATAAACACAATATATACACAATATAAACACAATATAAACACAATATATACACAATATAAACACAATATATACACAATATAAACACAATATAAACACAATATAAACACAATATATACACAATATAAACACAATATATACACAATATAAACACAATATAAACACAATATATACACAATAAAACACAATATATACACAATATAAACACAATATATACACAATATAAACACAATATAGACACAATATAAACACAATATATACACAATATAAACACAATATATACACAATATATACACAATATAAACACAATATAAGAATGTGACGCAGCATCAGCAGCAGGTAGCACGGATCGACGGGTAGCACGGATCGACGGGCTCTGGTCTCGTCCTCAAACTGAACGGTGAAGCACTTCCTGTTCAGTCTGGACCAGAACAATAAAGTTTTGGGTTGTAGTTTTAAATATGAAACTCTTCAATATGTGAAGTGGGATCATTAATATGTTCCTACTTGGTTTTATCTGCTGTCATTGACCTGTTCTGGTTCTGTCTGGACCGAACAGAACCAGAGGTCCTGTTCTGCTGGTGCAGGCCAAGCTGTCTGTGATCCAGCAGACGATGAGCTCAGAGATTCTGCTTCTCACCGACCTGAGGCAGAACCAAAGATCCGGTCAGGAGCGGTTTCCTCCAGAACCGTTTGGGTTGGGATCGGTCCGACGCTCCAGTACGACACCTGGTGGTTGTTTGGTGAGGTTGAACTATGGACGTTGAATTGAAATCTTGTTTTTTCCGTTGGCAGAACTTCAAGGAGGAGATGTCCCTGCAGCCGGAGGCGTCTCAGTTTCTATCCTGGAGTCTGGAGCAGGTGGCTCTGGTTCTGGCCCAGCGGTTCCCCAACAGGAACATCTGGGTGGTCAAAGCCTCCCGCATGTACCTCAACAAGTTCAGCTGCTACCAGAACTTCGTGGAGAGCAACATGTTCGGTGCGCCGGAGCACAGCGGCTACAGCGCCGACGGCGGAGGTTTTCACCAGCTCAGGTCGGTTCCCTTCACCGCCGGTAAGGGGTCGGGCAATTGGTCAGTAGGGGTCGGGAGGTCCAAATGGACCCAGGACGTTCTCAGGCAGGAACATGAACAGAGGAAAGATCTGGGGAACAAATTTCTACTTCTGTTTGTCCAGATGATGAAGATCTGCCTCAGTAGTCATCTTCACTTCTCCAAGAAACACAAAGACCGTCGGTCCATCCAACCGACTGTCCGTCCATCCAACCGACTGTCGGTCCATCCGACCAACTGTCGGTCCATCCGACCGTCTGTCGGTCCATCCAACCGACTGTCGGTCCATCCAACCGTCTGTCTGTCCATCCAACCGACTGTCCGTCCATCCAACCGTCTGTCTGTCCATCTAACCGACTGTCCGTCCATCCAACCGACTGTCGGTCCATGCAACCGACTGTCGGTCCATCCAACCGACTGTCGGTCCATGCAACCGACTGTCCGTCCATCCAACCGACTGTCGGTCCATCCAACCGACTGTCCGTCCATCCAACCGACTGTCGGTCCATCCAACCGACTGTCGGTCCATGCAACCGACTGTCCGTCCATCCAACCGACTGTCGGTCCATCCAACCGTCTGTCTGTCCATCTAACCGACTGTCCGTCCATCCAACCGACTGTCGGTCCATGCAACCGACTGTCGGTCCATCCAACCGACTGTCGGTCCATCCAACCGACTGTCGGTCCATGCAACCGACTGTCGGTCCATGCAACCGACTGTCGGTCCATGCAACCGACTGTCCGTCCATCCAACCGACTGTCGGTCCATCCAACCGACTGTCGGTCCATCCAACCGACTGTCTGTCCATCTAACCGACTGTCCGTCCATCCAACCGACTGTCGGTCCATCCAACCGACTGTCGGTCCATGCAACCGACTGTCGGTCCATGCAACCGACTGTCGGTCCATGCAACCGACTGTCTGTCCATCCAACCGACTGTCGGTCCATCCAACCGACTGTCGGTCCATCCAACCGACTGTCTGTCCATCTAACCGACTGTCCGTCCATCCAACCGACTGTCGGTCCATCCAACCGTCTGTCTGTCCATCTAACCGACTGTCCGTCCATCCAACCGACTGTCGGTCCATGCAACCGACTGTCGGTCCATCCAACCGTCTGTCTGTCCATCCAACTGTGTCCATCCGTCCAACCAACAGTTGAATCAGAACTTGAAATGCATGGCAGACTTTATTGCTGATCAATAAACTGTGATGATTAATCATTAGCTTTGTTAGCATTAGCATAAAGTCCAGAAATGGACAGAAATCCTGATGTTTCGTTTCAAGGTTTTGGATGTAAATGCGATTTTGTCTGTTTGACCTTTAAACTCTTCAGGAAGTAGAATCACAGCTGATGATGATGATGAGATTCTTCTTCTCTTGTCAGGTCGCTGCTGACCAACGCCATGGAGCGGGCCAAGCTGCCACCTGCAGGGGGCGCCGGCGGCCTGCCGCCCGGGTTCTCCCTGACCCTGGTGGGCTTCAGTAAGGGCTGCGTGGTTCTCAACCAGCTGGTGTACGAGCTGCCCGGGGCGCGCGCCGACCCCAACATGGCCGCCTTCGTGCAGCGGATTTCGGACATGTTCTGGCTGGACGGGGGCCACCCGGGCGGCAGCCGCACCTGGGTGACGGACCGCGAGGCGCTGAGGGAGCTGGCGGCCAGCGGCGTGTCCGTGCACGCGCACGTGACCCCCTACGAGGTGCGCGACCCCATACGGGCCTGGGTGGGCCGCGAGTACGGCGTGTTCATCCAGACCCTGGAGGAGCTGGGCGCCTGCCCCAGCAGGAAGCTGCACTTCCAGGACGAGCCGCCGTCCATCCAGAACCACTTCCGGGTCATCCTGGAGTTCTGAGTTCTGCTTCCTGTTTTGGTCTTAGAACTTTATGAACGTGAGGGAAACATGTTTACATTTATGTTTATTTAATGTTTAATCTAATTATATATGATGTAGCATTCAGAGTAAGGAGGCCCAGAAATGACAAAATTAAACATTAATTTAAATAAATAAATACTTGATGTAATGAAACATTATAAATGGTTTCAGTTTGACTTCAGGAACAGGAAACATAAGTAAACACAATTCATTTTATGCATTGGCTATTATAAGTTTGCATCTAAATTATTGATTTTCATATTTAATAGTCTTAAATAAATGCACATGTATCTTTCTAATGAGCTAATATGTGGTTTTGTCTCTTCTGGCCTTCCGTACCGGAGGTAAACAGCCTCTTTCATTCCTTCAGTCTGAACCCAGGCTTTATTTTTCTTCCTTTGATGAAGTGAAATATGGCGGTTCTGGTTCTGATAGAAAGCTCCAGAACTTGACCCGACCCGTTAGAACCTATAGGCAGAACTGTGAGCCTCAGAACCGATCCAACACAGGAAACAGACCGGATCAGAAGGTCCGGGCCGATCATTTTGGGTTTTTAATTACTCTTCAGAACTGACTGTGAGGTTCTGATTCGGTTCTGATGGGCATCACTGGGAGTGTGGAGAGGAGGTCCAGTACCAGTTTGGATCGGGTCAGCCAACCTGTTAGCCACTGGACGGAGGAGGAAAACCAGCCCACAGCATGATGCTGCCACTACTGCCTCCAAAACAAAACTATCCCAGTTTATCTCTACCATGGAGTCAAATATCTCAGCATCCAACCAAACATCCATCCAGTTCTGGTTTCAGCAGCTGAAATTAAAACAGTTCCATAATCAATAAAATATAAATGATTGGCCTCCAGGATGGATGAAGCACCTCCCCTCTTTATCACCTCCTCTTCTTCCTCAGTTAGCAGTGCGGCTAACAGGAACTGAGCAGCTGCTTTTCCAGATGTTTCTGCTGAATGTAACTTCTGATGCATTCCTTGCTGTAGTGCTGCTGGTGGCCAGCAGGGGGGCGCCACTGGGACAGACACGCCACGCTGATTGTGTTTTCTACAACTTTAATGAGCTTTTCCAGTTTGCTGTGTGACGCCTACAGATTAGCCAGCAGTTATCAGATTACAGATTATTTATTCTGTTCAAGATGTAATTCCGCTCAAACATTAAAAAACAAATAAAATAAAGTTACATCGTTTCAGCCGTTGGTCTCTGTGCTTGTGGCTGATTTGACTGGAACAGGAGGAATCAGCAGAACAAACATGGAGGTCCATTGAAGCAGCTGATGTCAGACCGGCTCCCTACGGCGGCGGCGGCGCGGGGCATCCCGGGACGGTGCGTCCTCACTGAGCCCTTTGTGCCCCGCGGTGAGGTCATGAGGTCAGCCGCTGCGGCACGCCGCCTCTCACTTCCTCTGCTCCCTCGTTTCTCTCCTTCAGCTGCCCAACAATCCAAACTCCTGCAGAGTCGTCCTGCAACACGTTTCTACTTCCTTCAGTTCCTTTCAGCATAAAAGCCTCCTCAATCAGCTGCTTCCCTCCACAATCAGCCAACATTAAGACATGAGCTCATGGTTTCATAAAACATCCAGAATCAGTCCAGCACATAAATAACATTAATAACAACAAGAGCAGGCCTGCGGCAGGCGGAGCGGCGCCCTGAGATCATCACTCGGAGAGGCTTCAGACACGCCCCTTCCTTCCTGCACAGGAAGAAAGTGCTAAGGAGGAAGTGACGTACGGCGGCCGAGCGGTGCGAACACGATAAAAAACATGATGCCAATACAAAACCTATCGATCAGAAAAACTCAGGAAACGGAAACTCTGCTAACGCCTCCACTGAAATCCTCCAGACCACCAGGGGGCGCCGATCTGGAGCAGGCCCTCAGGAGGAATGTTGGAGGAAGGAAGAAATACTTCACATCTTTTTCAATAGTTTTTATAACAGACCAGCAGCATAATATCTCCAGGCTCCCCCTGGTGGAGCGGAGGACTGAGTTTACAATGTTTGCTGTTTTCCATTTCGCTCGTTTCCTTCAGTTTTTCTGTTTTGTTTTGGAGTTTCATCGTTCAAGTGTTTGCAGCTAGTTTTGGGTGTTAGCTGCGCCCGTTAGCCGCCGTACGTCCCGACAGGAAACGGTGCGCGGCGCGAACATCAGCTGCTCTACAACTAAACCCTGAGCTACTTTGGGTGCAGAGATCCCGCGGGGAGCGGCGGCGTTACGAACGGTTCTGCTGGCGACGGCAGCAGGCGGCTCTTCCTGGTGACCCTGACAAGTTTCCCTACCTTAAGGCATAGATTCAAACTGCATAGATTCCCTACATAGATGCTGCAGTGCAGGCGTCATGGAGGCGTCCCGCAGGGCAGCTGGACAGAATCAGGAAGCTGTTATCTTTGGTTGGACTGGAGGATCAGTGAAGCAGAGTAGAGCTTCTGGAAGCTAAAATTATTTAAAACAGAAGAAGAAGAAGAAGCCGTCTGCGCCGCTTCGCCTCAGGGGTCATCAGAAGTCGCCGTCTCCGGCCGTCTCCTCCTCCAGGCGGAACCTCTTGGCGTGGGAATGGGGCGAGTCCAGGAAGTTCTCCTTGTCCTCCTGCGGCGCCGCCCACTTGGCACCGCAGCTCCGCTCCCGGACGGGCCGGACCAGAACCGGCTCCGGGTTCAGGCACAGCGGCTGCTGCCACAGCCATGGGTGGCTGAGGCACTCTGCGGCGCTGGGCCGGTCCCTGCGGGCCAATCAGAGGTCAGAGGTCAGAACTTTCGGCTGATCCGGATCCACATCGACCCAAAGGTTCATCGCTCCAGAGAAACGTTCTGAACAGAGGTTCTGAACAGAGGTTCTGAACAGAGGTTCTGAACAGAGGTTCTGAACAGAGGTTCTGAACAGAGGTTCTGAACAGAGGTTCTGAACAGAGGTTCTGAACAGAGGTTCTGAACAGAGGTTCTGAACAGAGGTTCTGAACAGAGGTTCTGAACAGAGGCTAAATTTGGTAAGAATTGCTGAGTCTTCAATAATAATGACAGACTTTCCCAATAGTCCCGGTTCCGTCCCGGTTCCGTCCCGGTTCCGTACTCACTCTGGCGCTTTCACCAGCAGCTTCCTGATGAAATCGACGGCGAGTTCAGAGACGCGGCTCAGCGCGTCGCGGCTGTAATCCACGTTGACCTGCGACACGTTCAGGTACGTCTCCTGCTTGTCGTCTCCGAGGAACGGCGACTCGCCCGTCACCAGCATGTAGGCGATGACGCCGACGCTCCTGCAGGCGGAGCAGAGAGCCGGGTCAGAGAACCGGGTCAGAGCGCCGGGTCAGAGCGCCGGGTCAGAGAGCCGGGTCAGAGCGCCGGGTCAGAGAGCCGGGTCAGAGAGCCGGGTCAGAGAGCCGGGTCAGAGCGCCGGGTCAGAGCGCCGGGTCAGAGCGCCGGGTCAGAGAGCCGGGTCAGAGCGCCGGGTCAGAGCGCCGGGTCAGAGCGCCGGGTCAGAGAGCCGGGTCAGAGCGCCGGGTCAGAGAGCCGGGTCAGAGAGCCGGGTCAGAGAGCCGGGTCAGAGAACCGGGTCAGAGCGCCGGGTCAGAGAGCCGGGTCAGAGAGCCGGGTCAGAGAACCGGGTCAGAGAGCCGGGTCAGAGAACCGGGTCAGAGAGCCGGGTCAGAGAGCCGGGTCAGAGAGCCGGGTCAGAGAACCGGAGCAGAACCAAATCCTCGCTCCACGTTCCTCTGACGTTTCGAAATGTTTCATATTTTATTTTGAAGATTAAATCTAACCGGACGTCCTGACCCTGTTGCCATGGTTACCCCTGCCAGGTGACTCACCACAGGTCCGTCGCCGTGGTGATCGGCTCGTAGCTCAGAACCTCTGGAGCTGAAACACAGGAAGTCTGATGTCATTCAGAGTTTCATCACTTCCTGTTTCCTGTGCTGACAGCAGGACCAGAGGAAACGGTTCAAAGTGTTTCTATGGCTACAGATCTGAAAAGTGTGGAGTGCACTGAGGTCAAAGGTCAATCACTTTCCCCTGAAACCAGCAGAAAGAAAAGCTGGAATCAGCTTTGTTACTAATGGAGACGGAGGTCCGATTGAACCGGACCGGGTCGGGTCCGATTGTACCAGGTCGGACCGGACCTGACCGGGTCGGGTCCGGTTCGATCGGGTCAGGTCGGGTCCGATTGTACCAGGTCGGACCGGGTCGGGTCGGGTCGGGTCTTACCTACATACTCGGGCGTTCCCAGGATCTCCCGCAGCTCGCCGGTCGTCCCCAGGCGCCGCGCGAGGCCGAAGTCGACGATCTTGATGTCGCCCGGTGGCGCCAGGCTGGTCAGCAGGATGTTCTGAGGCTGGAGGACAAAATGGAGGACGAGTTCACCGGACCGGGTCAGGAGAGGGTTTACGCAGCCGTCGACATCATTAGCAGGTCCACTTTCCACTCTGACTCATATTTGCTTTCAGAACCAGCAAAGAAACAAAGAGGTCCGGTCTGAGCCGACCCGGTGAGACCGGTTCAGGTCAAAGTTCAAGTAGGGTTCAGCCACCGCTCCCTCCGGTCCGGGCTTTGACTGGACCGACCCAGAACTTCAGCAGAACCTCAAATCAGATGGAGAAAAAATCTGCAGAGAACGAACCAACGTTTCTATTGGTCGGGCCGTGAAGCGGTTCTGGTCGGGAGAACCGGTCCAGCAGCAGTTTGTTCATTTGCTGCCACACCAGAATAAACATCTCATAAACTTTAATAAATGAAATAAAGTCAATAAATTTAGTTGAACTTTTCAAACATGGAGTCAGAAAATTAAACATTGAAAAAAGGAACCCAGAGAAATACTGAATGCTTAAATGGACCTGCTTCATGTTCTGGTTCTGGTGTGTGTGAGACCTTAAGGTCCAGATGGACCAGCTGGTTCTGGTGCAGGTGTTGGACCCCCTCCAGGGTCTGTCGGATCAGCCGGGTCACCTGGGCCTCAGGCAGCAGCTCCTCCGACACGCACAGGTCAAAGATCTCCCCGCCGGCGGCGCTGCAGACAGAACCGGATCAGAACCGGGTCAGAACCCAGTTGGAACCGTAACCCGGCGGGCCCCAGGTCCACTCACTACTCGAGCAGCAGCACCAGGTCGTGGTCGGTCTCGTGGGCGGCGTACAGGTTGACGACCCGCGGGCTGTTCCGGGCCAGCTCCAGAACCGCCATCTCATGGACGGCCTCGGCCCGGCAGTCCCGGCCCCGCCTCCTCTCTTCCTCAGGAACTTGGCGGCGAACTCTTTCCCCGAACTTTTCTCCACGCAGCGCTTCACCACCGCAAACTTCCCCCTGGGTCAGAGGTCAGAGGTCAGAGAGAACCCACTGAGGACCTGCAGACAGGTCTGTGCAAAAGTTTTAAACCATCCAGACCTGCTGCTGGTTCTGATCCGACTTTTACAGGAGGAAAATATATTTATGAAAAGGAAATGTATAAAAATATGAGATGTATTTAAATAATAAAATAATTTCTGGGCAGAACAAAAAAAACCATCAACAAATAATCATATTGACGATAATATTGATGAGGACGCAGTTTGTAGATGCAGATCAGGTTCTGATCAGCAGGACTAGATCCAGCTTCCTCCCAGAACCAGTCGGTCCGGTCCAGTCGGTCCGGTAGACCTGGGACTGACTGGACCACCCAGACGCTGACCACATCTACTGTTTCCACCTCTGGACTAATCAGAACAGTTTGGACCAGGCGGTTCTGGAATCATCCACTCTGGGATCGGCAGGTGCTGCCTGGCAGCCAGCCGTCCAACCTTCAGTCCAACCTTCAGTCCAACCTTCAGTCCAACCTTCAGTCAGGTCCAGTTGGACGATGCAATTGAGATCAGGCGTCCAGTTGGACGCCTGATCTCAGATCAGCTGGAAGCTTCCTCCACTTCCTGTTTCAGACCTCCACTTCCTGTTTCAGACCAACATGGAGTCCGGTTCTCCTTTCTGCGTTCTGGTTCTTCCTCACCCACCGCAGAGCCAGCGGGCCTCACATGACCGCAATGTGGTTACCATGGTTACCACAGTTCGAGGTTAAAGTCCAGAGTCCAAAACATGGCGGCCAGA